AGAACTGATGCACCCTCAAGCCAAACAAACACCGCAAGCCACACGTCCTGCGCCGCGGGCTTGGGCTGCCTGCGCCACCTGCGGCACAGCTCCAGCGTGGGCGCCCGCAGCTCGGCCGCAAGCGCCGTGGTGGTCTTGCCGCACCAGCGGTGCAGCTGATCAAAGGGCTTGCCGATGGCTTGCCGGTGCCTCAGCTCGAAAAAACTTGGGCGGGGTCAAACATCGATTTTGCTAACCCCCAAAAATGGCGCAAGCCCTGGTAAATCGCAAAGGACTAAAACCTGGGGTCCATATCCCGGTGACTTCATTGTTCGACTCACACCCACTTAGTGCTTTTGCGTTTGGAAGGCGAACGGTAGCAACAATATGGGGTGGTAAAAATTGTGCCTGATTTCGAGGCAAAGAGACCAAACAGAAAACCAACATTGGCTTCGCATAAGCACAAGGTGTGCTGGTCATTCATCAGCGATCGGGATTTGGAGATATGTACTACAAATCCATTGTATATATGTATGTAAATCCTTAGCTGGCTTCAATTGTTCACGGGGATGTTTGTGCTTGAAGCTAGCCTGATTTTCTGTGCGGACACGCAAAGAACTAAGAACTACGGCCCCCCCCCCCAATTTCTGAAAATGCCGTGGGGGTGTTGAGCAAATCAAGGCCAGATTAGGCTAGATGCGGCTAGAGCTAAGCCATCAATTGAGAGACCAGGACGTTTTCCTCCCTCACCATCGGGAGCCCTTTGGGGGGCTAGAGCCTGATGCCAAGCAGGTATCCCTTCTTGCGATGGGTCGATACCTGTGTGCTCCAGTTCTCTGTTGTGCCGCGGGTCTCAAGCTGTTTTATGGTTTGCCAGTTTTGACCGATCCCACGTTTGGTTCAATAGCAACGGCATGTTTGATACTTTGATAAATAGCAAGGTGGGCTCTCCAAATTGATCCTCTATCAGAACAATCCTTTTGGTTGCCGGAAGGCTTCATGCATGTCTTCCAGTATGCCGGGAAAATTCAAAAAAATCGAGATGGAAGAAAACCGAAGGGCACACAGTTCAAAGCTTGATTGGTCAACTGCCCCCCCCATATGTGGCTCTGTATGTGTGGTTCTTGAGTTGGATCCGAAGACAGTACCCTCACCATTGACTTTTGGTGCTGCTCACATTATAAAGGTTGAACCACTGAAACTAATCATTGTCTTACCATAACCCCTACCTTTGATAACCCTGAAAATCTATCAAAATAATGATCCAAGTATCCAAGTTGACTTTGGTTCCAGTTGGCTTTTGGGTTAACGATTCGCCCACTGAAATGCTTTTAGGGAAATCCCCCAAAATGAGTGGTTTTCCTTTTGGCGTCCCTTGAAAACCACCAACAAAGACTGTGCCAACTCCAAACCGACATGGGTGCTTCGTCTTTTTGTTGAGGCTTCTTTTTTGGGGGGGGGTTCATGCGAAACCACACGAAAAACCCGCCATTTCAATGGGGGGGTCCCCTAAAACACGACACCCTCCTGGGCGTTTTGCCGGTTTCGGCCCGGTTTCGCCCGAATCCGGGCTGCTCCCAAAGGGCTGCCCTGCCCAAAGGCAAGGCCTTGAGGCACGCCAAGCACGCCAGCGCCAACATCCCCGCCTCGATCGACGGGGGGGGTTCATGTGTTGCGTTTCCCCCCCCCCCCCCTTTGTCGCTTTTTGAGGTTGGGTTGAAAGGAAACCAACAGGACTTGTTAGGTCTTCTTGGTCTATGGGTCTTCATGCATTGCTTTTTCCTCCCCTTTCGTTGAAAAGGGTCGTCTTGTTATATTGGGGCCCTTTTGAGGTTGGTTTAAAAGGAAGACAAAGGAAATTTGAGGGTTTGAGGGTGAAAAGGGCTTCCAGGTAGGTTCAGGGATGGTTTAAGGTAGTTGAACACAACTCAAAGGAAAGCCCATTGCAATACGTGGCACAAACACTGACATTCGGATTGAAATGATACTGGTCCCACATCGCAATGACGGGTCAACACTGCCACCCAGCCATGCTTAACCCGGACATCTGGTGCTGTCTTTGTTTCGATGCAACCGCAAAATTGGAGTTGCCTCTTTGGTCTCCCTTGAACAACCACCACAAAAAAGTCGGTTCTCCCCTCGCAAAAGGACGGAACCCCCATTCGGTTGGCGCCCTTTTCCGAAACCAAAACGCGGGGCCTCCTCCTTTTGGTCGGACTCCAAGGAGGTCACTGCCTCCTTAAGCACATGGCCCAGCTCATTCAAGCCCTCCTCGGTCGCGGGGCTGAAGCCCAGAAGAAAACATAGGGGGAAACAAACCCAACCCATACTCTGCCCAAAGGACCCAAAAACAATAGGTCCTCCTTTTGGATCCCTGACTCAAGGTGGACCAAAGGCAAACCAATAGGTTAAAAGGTCAACTTTGGGCAAGAGAGCAAAAGGATTCGGAAATGTGGGGAACAGGACTGTGGACCAAATCCATTTCACTGCAGTTGGGATTTGTGTGTTTTCCAGTATTCATAGGGCTTCATCCATCCAAACTGGTGCACGGCTTTGTCTATCCATAGTAGCAAGGCATGCTAAGGCCTTAAGGGGTTAGGCCATCCTTCCACTTAGACCATGGGTTTCTTTGTCATGTTTTCCTGCGGCAAAGGAGCGCGCCCATGCTCAGTGCTCGGGTACATGTAGCCTACTCCATTTCAAATCGAATCTTTGAGATTCCTGCTTTTGTGGGGGGGGGGGGGGGGGAGCTTTTTGGGTTTCATGCTAATTTGCAAGGCATCACGAAAAACAGAAGGCCAGAAACCGTAAAGATCGGTGGCCCAGTTACCAACCTTTTGTTCTGGGGTCAACCGCACAAAGGGGTGATGGTTTGGCTGAGCATATCATCGGCATTGGATTGGTTTCACGTGGCAAGACCATCTGGAAAGAGGCACGCATTCAGCATGTCAAAGCCACCATTCTTACAAAAGCAAAGAAACGCATTTGAACCCAAACCCGCTTGCGATTCTCCGTTGGTGCCAATTGAAGGGCTTACAGAGGCTTTCAACGACGAAAGATATCGGGTCGGGTCATTTTAGTGGTTGGATTGGTATACGGTCCTTTTGGACATGCGGTTTGAAGTGAGTCCGGGCCCCGCAACCCGGCTCTGGGGAGTGCACCCAATGGATGGATCTGGGTGGGAGGATTGACCACAGGAGTGTTCAGCTTCCGAACCCCCCGATCACCCTCAAACCACTCCAACCAAATGTGTTCCTAAGCTACACAAAACCCCAACCCTCCGCAAGAAATCGATCCCCTAAATTCTAGGCCGGCCCAACCCCTCTCCCTTTCCGGCAAAACAAGGTCCACTTCCAAACTCTCACAGGAACCTGCAGGAATTTCCACAGGACATTTGCCAAACGTCCACGAGTGTTTCTTGCTTGATTTTCGTGTAGCTTTGGATTTGTCTCAAAGGGGCACCCAAAAAAGCGGATGGTTTCCGATTGTCCATTTGAAATCATCCAAAAAGGGCACTGTTGAAAAAGACGGACCCATGTTTTGATCAGGACCACCTTTCGGATGGTGCCTGAGGCCACTGGGTTGGCCCATTGGTTTCCCTTTCAGTACCCGCTTTGGGGTTGGTTTACAGGGCAACAGCATTCTGAGGCTTCCCCTGTTCTTGTTTTTACCCTCCACCAATATCCTCTTCGTTGAAGCCAAAGCAGATACGGCTGCGACTGAATGGTCATCAAGGCTCATGTAGGCGTCCTTTTGGAAAAGCTGATGGCCCAAGGTTTCTCATCAACCTAACCCATCAGGAGACCTATGCCTCTGCAAGGGGGTCTTTTTGCCACCTTTTGTGAGAAAATTGGAGACCCCCTCAAAAAGAAATGCTTCACTCCAAGGGGGTCGATCATTTTTCCACCAAAGGTGGCAAAACGCCCCCCCTTTGCCTCTACCTACTGTGGATGGACGGAATCCTGCACCACTTTGAAACCATGGTTGAAACCATTGTTCGGTGGCATTTACGTTGGGGAATCGAATCATTCTCTTGGGTTGAAGTTTCTGAACGGTAGTGCGTAAGAAATGGATTTCGCCACCATCCACAATATGGCTGTGGGTCCAAAAACGGTACCCAAAAAGGAACCCTGGTAAAATGGAACCCTGGCTGTGGAACCCTGGATGCCGACCTCTGACGACCCCCCGAAGCCCCCCCTGGGCCCCCGCCTGCGCCACGAAGGCGATGCGCACCCCGCGCGAGCTGCGCGCCACGCACGCCGCCAGCAGCGCCAAGCTCCGCAGATTGGCGCTGCGGCCCCACGCGGCCCCGCGGTCGCGGACCGTGGCCAAGAGCTCCGGCAGCTCCTGGCGTGAAGCACCGCAGCGTGCATTCTGTATACTAGTGTATGTACATATTAGTATATCCATATATACATATATGTATATGTATATATTTACTATGTATATACATATATTTGTGTATGTGGTAAATCAGGTTCAAGTACCTTATGGTGTTTCTTTGTTAAAGTGCATGTTTTTAGTATTGACAGTACACCATATATATATATATATATATATACACATTGTAGCGCCTTGCATTACATGGTGTCATATCAAGGTATGTTAGATGAGATCATGTCGCACATATATACATATATAATTCATCGCATTGAAGATATCACGTCGTGTTATGGTATGCTGTGTTATCGTATTACAGTAGATTATATTACACCATATCATGCTTATGCTATGCTATGTTGTGTCAGTGTATATCACATTAGACCTGTATCATACTATATTGTGTTAAGTTACATATTGTACTACATGATGTTATGCTATATCATAATATTATATTGCCTAGATAGATATGTAATACAAACGACGTTCTAAGCGAAATGGGCATTGCGGTAAGAGTGAAAACGTTTGCAGAAACCCATTGCAAACAGCCACTCTGTGTTTAGCAACATTTGCATTTTAGTTGAAGACGATGAACAGAACAGCAAAAGAGCATTCAGAAGGCCAACAAAAACAGACAAGAAAAGCATTCTGAGGAAAAGTCTGTTTTTGTGTGAAACCAGACAACTCGATGACTGATTTTGGCTTTTAGTTTCTCTTTTAGAGAAAGTCGCGAAAAACAAAAACAACTTGGGGGACAAAACCCAAAAGAAACGACTCTGAGGGCAAGAGTTGGTTTTGCACAAAACATGTGTGCTGATTTGAGGGTTTTATTTGTTAGTGTTCTGGTTCTCCGGCAGTTGTTTGGGTTTTTGAGCAAAAACCAACAACAAGTCGATGGTTGTTTGGTGTTCTCGTGTTTTTTTCTGTTCGCGGGGTTCCCCGCAAAAAACGCATCGAGTCGTTGTTGGTGTTTACTAAAAAAGAAGAAGAGGAAAACCAAGACATCACAACACAAGCAAACAACAAGAACCACAAGCTCTTGGCAAACCCAACCTTTCCTCAAAGTGACTTTTTGTTCTGTGGTTCTCGAGGGTCTTGTTGATTATTTGTAGTTGTTTGTTTTTACTCAAACAAACTGTGGGAAAGCAAACACAAAAAGCAACTTCAACAACCCAAACAAAACACAAACTTTGGCAACACTACAACTTGTCCTTAGAGTTTGACTTTTTGCTTAATTGGGAACCAAATGTTCGATTATTCAATCGACTTCAAAAGCTGGATCTCAAGTCTTGCCTCAAGCTGTTATAGAGCTCCTTGAGAGACTCGTTATAAAGCTGCTTCCTTAGACGAGGCTCAATGGAAAGCTCCTAAAAGAAGGCTCCTTGCAAAGCGTGTAAGACTCTATATCAGGCTGCTTATACATCTCAAGGCTCCCCAATGAAAAGGCTACTCAATGAGAAGGTTTCTTAATAAGGCTCCTTGTGCATTTCCGTATGAAGCTGCTTGCAAAGCTGCCTTTGAAGCTCACTTATGTAAAGCTGCTTATAAGACCTCCTACAAAGCTCTTCACAAAGGTCTTTTTGAAGCTCCCTATGAAGCTCCGTAAAGCTGTTTAAACGACTCCTTATAAAGCTCTGTTCAAGGCTTCTCAAAAAGGCTCCTTGTACAATTCCTTGTAAAGATGCTTATAAAGCTTGTGAAGCTACTTATGAAGCTTGTTTCGTGTACGGAATTGGATAGTAATTCAAGTTCAATCAGACTTCAAACGGAATGCAATAAGCACATAGTTCAATTATAACTCATTTTGATGAGAGTTTTAAGGGGAATAATTTCCACGTATGATGATAAGTTAACATGAACTAGTAGACTATACATAGAGTTTAACAAAAGGACAGAGTTCCATTGTACGTTCTATCTTCAATCAAAGGTGAAACAATACATCCCTTCCATGACTAGAACTTGACAAGGAAATAATTCAACTATATACAAACTTTGAGAAAAGCAACACATTCAATTGGAAGTTTGGCACAAATGAAGAAGGGCATCATTGAATTTGAATGTCTATGCTGTTTTCGAATTAAAGCAGGAATTACTTTCCAAGTATGTAGGATATGATTTAAAAACAACTGCGATGTAAACTAAACCGATTTTGAATGTGAGTCCAGTCTGACTTTGGCAAACCTTAGGGACATCCAAAATGGGTGGACGGCCTTGCTGAGCAAAAGTTGAACGAACATCTGAGCCAGAATTGCTTTTGTTTCTCCTTTTTTTCCGGCAACTCATGTTTGCGTGCGAAAGCCACAGCTTAAAGCAAGCCAGAGTATCATCGTCGTCCTATATGGAATAGCCGTTTTGACGGGGTTTAAAGGGAAAGCGACCCGGATATTCACCTTTGATCAATTGATGACATGTTGCCTGTACGTCTATGACGGAAGAAGTAAGGACAAGCGTTCGGCAACCGTTCCGCTATCACCGATATTCCTGGCTACATGCTTGTTGTTTGAGCAAAGGACCAAGTTTACCATCGTCTGCGGTAAGGAGTATGAGATTGAGCGCACTCACCAAATTACCATTGAATTCCCATGTCAGTTGAGAGCTGAATCTGGGCAAATTACTAGGGTACGCCCCGACTGAAAATCGGGTTGCTTGTGAAATACGTCTTCATGGGTGATGTCGCACCCCCCCCTCGAAACGAGACGTACATTCTACCTGGCGACACCTCGCCACGGCGGGAATCGGTGTGGAGCCATGGCGAGAATCCCTCCGTTCCTAGGAATTGGTGGATGGGTGGCTTGTTCCGAGGGTAGCTTGCCAAGGAAAATTGTCAAATCCCCAATCCAAGCCGATTAGCGGTTCCCTGACTCAAAGCCCATCATTGGCAGGGCATACTTCAGGAACCTGACTGGTTCCGTGAGAGGAACATCTTCCAGCCCTAGGCTCCATGGCAACCGGAGGGTGCCTCCCCCAATTGAAGTCGCAATCTTCCCCACCCCCCCAAAAAAAAACGTTGTAAAAAAGGAGAGAGAGAGAGAGAGAGACTAGTCTAAGTCCAGGAACTCATGGCTTGGTCAATGTTCAACCCCAACCTAGGACTCAAATCTGTTCTTTGTTCATTTGAGTCAATCTCTGCGGTCCCCAACCTTCACCCAGTGACCCACCAGCACATCCCCCGATTCCATCGGTTTGTCTTCGGAGTTGGTACACCCCCCCCTTTGCCGTGGCTTCAAGGGGAAGCCAAAAAGGACACCCTCCAAAATGGGGGGGGTCCAATCTGAAAGACAACACACAGACACTTGATCTGCTCCCCGGAAGGAGATGACATCCGCTTCTGAGTTTGGTCAATATCTGGTCAAAAAAAATACAAAAACACACACACACACACACACACCGTGTCACACACCCGAATGGGGGGTCCAACCTTACAAAAAACCTGGCTGGGTCCAACCACAATGGGGGGTCCCACACACCCGGTTGGGTCCTCCTCGGAGATCTTAAAGCCGTCCTCCACCAGGCGTTCGCAGAACTGCTGCCGCTCCGTCTCCTCGGAGCTCCGCGCCGGCTCGTCGAAAAGGCCGGTGTCAAACCTCGGCGGTTGGCTGTGTGTGTTTGTGCGTGTTTTTGTCTGATTGTTTGTTTGTCTGTCTGCTTGTTTGTCTGTCTGTTTGTTTGATTGTTTGCTTGTTGGATTGTTTGTTTGATTGTTTCTTTGTCTGTCTGTCTGTCTGTCTGTGTGTTTGTTTGATTTGTTTGATGTGTTTGTTTGCTTGTGTGATTGTTTTGATTGACTCGATTGATTTGTTTGTTTGTCTGTCTGTTTGTTTGTGTGTTTGAGTTGCTTGATTGATTTGTTTGTTTGCTTGTTTGTTTGCTTGTTTGTGTGTTTGCTTGCTTGCTTGATTGTTTGTGTGTCTGTTTGTCTGTTTGTTTGTCTGTCAGTTTGTTTGTTTGCTTGTTTAATATGTGTGTTTGTTTAACTTGCTTGTTAGTTTGTTTGATTTGTTTGTTTGCTTGTTTGCTTGTTTGTTTGTCTGTCTGTCTGTCTGTTTGCTTGTTTGTTTGTTTGATTTGTTTGTTTGCTTGTTTGTTTGTGTGTTTGTTTGATATGATTGATGTGATTGGTTGCTTGTTTGTTTGATTGAATTGATTGATTGAATTGATTGTGCTGTGTGTTTGATTGTTTGTTTGTTTGTTTGTTTGTTTGTTTGTGTGTTTGTTTGTTTGATTAAACTAGTTGATTTTTTGGTTTGCTTGATTGTTTGCTTGTTTGTTTGTTTGATTGATTGCTTGATTTGTTTGATTGAACTGTTTGTGTTGTTTGCGTGTTTGTGTGTTTGTATGTTGTTTGTTTGACTTGTTTGATTTGCTTGTTTGTTTGTTTGATTGTTTGTTTGTTAGTTTGTTTGCTACTTTGATTGATTTGATTGATTTGCTTGCTTTGATTGTTTGTTTGTTTGTTTGCTTGATTGTTTGTTTGTTTGTCTGCCTGTCTGTTTGTTTGTTTGTTTGTTTGTTTGTTTACTTTGTTTATTAGTCTGCTTGATTGTTTGTTTGATTGGTTTGTTTGTTTGATTGATTGGTTGGTTGTGTCTTTGAATTGTTGTGTGCTCGCTTGCTTGTTTGCTTTCTTCCTTGCTTTCTTGTTTGTTTGCTTGCTTGTTTGCCTGTTTGTTTGCTTGCTTGTGTGTTAAGGGTACCCTTGTTAGGGGTTGGTTTAAAGGGAAACCAATGCAAATCCAAATTCCTCCTTATTCGAGGTCCAACCCCCATTTGTGACACATATCCAACCCATTTGGCTTCCCTTGGTTTCTTTTGGATTCCTTGGGTTTCCCTTTAGATTGTCCCCAAAAGGCGCGCCCTCAACCAAAAACATGTTCCCCTTTTGGTGCTTGCAACCGAAATTCATCTCTGGGGTTGCTACTTTGACACGTACTCATTTGGGGAGGTGGCAAACAAATCCCCCACCCCCAGGTATTGCTGTTGGCTTCCTTGAAACCATTCAAGGCGAAACACAATGAACTGAATCGAACTTTCCCCCACTTTCAATCCGCTTGATTTTGTTTGTCCGGGGTCAACTTCACATGTGAAATCATGAAAAGGAGAAGCGGGGGTGGACCATGCTCAAAGCCGCAGGTCTCAAGATCCTGTCTCATGACATTTCAACAAGCGCTCATAGACCCCTGGAAAGCATAAGTTCGCAAAGGCACTTCTGCTCCAAAGCATTCGAACATGCTTCTTTAATTGGGATTGTTCGGGTAGATGCTCCTGTAAAGAGACCCTTCCCAAGGATAGAGCACCCGCACGCATAGCAAACGAGGCGACTCGCCCCAAGGCCTAACTTGCCTATCGAGCCAAACGGACTATGCTTGGACATTAACAGTCATGCTTTGCTGACAGGGGGCCGGCGAGAAAGACATGACATGTCTTTCTGCAATGTGTTTGCTTCTCTTTAATCAACCGATGACAAAGGTCAATTCCGGGAAACAACCCTATGCACCAAAAACACACACGCACCCACATAAAATTCCGTGACCCTACTAGGGCTGCAAGATTCATAACAGGACATAACAATTGCGAAACTCGAATGAATCACCCGTTGGAGCCAGGCAACCACCTCATCGTGCCCTTCTTCCAGTGGCGTTTCACTCGAACCCCAAAAAGGCTTGGATCCCAACAGGATGCTTCTCTTTGTTCTGTGTTTGGGGATCCATGTGAACCTTAGATCACGTCTGACAGCATCTGAGCCAGAATCAAAAACCCGGGTAGATGAAGGTTAGTAAGGGGCAGTCCTAGCCGCAAATAGTTGCGGCCGCCTTTCTAATTCTTTACATGGTTCTGATTTCACCATGTTTGTACCGATCGGTTTTGATTGTGACTCATCCGAGGTAACAATTCCAGGGGCAGAAAACAACTCTAGCCGTGGCACAGCTCGTCCAACTCCTCATCCTGCGTCTTGCCCCTTTCAAGTATCCTCGGCCGCTTGGCACTCGGCTCCATATTGATCACCCGGTTCCAGCCATTGAAATGCTGGGCTCCAAGGCTATCAAAGCTTGAGCCTCTGCAGCTTCGTATGATTTTCCGATAGACATATTAGAATACAACACTTGGCATATATATATGTATATATATATATGTATACAAAGTGTGTGTGTGTGTGGGTGTGCACGCATGTATATACACCTAGCTGTGTCTGCGTGCGCGCATGTCTCACACTTGTAAATGAATACATGTCTGTCTGTCTGTCTGTCTGTCTGTCTGTCTGTCTGTCTGTCTGTCTGTCTGTCTGTCTGTCTGTCTGTACGTACGTACGTACGTACGTATGTATGTATATATCTAGATATCTATCTATCTATCTCTCTATCTCTGCATCTCTTGATCTATATATATATGTCTATCTGTCTATCTATCTATCTATCTATCTATCTATCTATCTATCTATCTATATCTCTATCTATCTATCTATCTATCTATCGATCTATCTATCTATCTATCTATCTATCTATCTATCTATATAGATTTATCTATCCATCTATCTATCCATCTATCAATCCATCTATCTATCTATCTAACTATGTATCTATCTATTTATCTATCTATCTATCTAGCTATCTACCTATCTCTATATATATAGAGATCTTTCTATCTATATAAGATACCTGCTTATCTATCTATTTGTCTATCGTTATACCCATCTATGTGTATGTATGCATGCATCCATGCATGCATGTAATACAGCCATGCAATGCATTGCGTTGCATTGCGTTGCTATGGTATGTAATGGTATGTGTGTGTATGTATATGTGTATGTACGTATGTATGTATGTACGTACGCGCGTACGTATGTATGTATGATTGTATGCATGTATGTATGTATGTATGTATGTGTCTGTCTGTCTGTCTGTCTGTCTGTCTGTCTGTCTGTCTGTCTGTCTGTCTGTCTGTCTGGTGTCTGTCTGTCTGTCTGTCTGTCTGTCTGTCTGTCTGTCTGTCTGTCTGTCTGTCTGTCTGTCTGTCTGTCTGTCTGTCTGTCTGTCTGTCTGTCTGTCTGTCTGTCTGTCTGTCTGTCTGTCTGTCTGTCTGTCTGTCTGTCTGTCTGTCTGTCTGTCTGTCTGTCTGTCTGTCTGTCTGTCTGTCTGTCTGTCTGTCTGTCTGTCTGTCTGTCTGTCTGTCTGTCTGTCTGTCTGTCTGTCTGTCTGTCTGTCTGTCTGTGTCTGTCTGTCTGTCTGTCTGTCTGTCTGTCTGTCTGTCTGTCTGTCTGTCTGTCTGTCTGTCTGTCTGTCTGTCTGTCTGTCTGTCTGTCTGTCTGTCTGTCTGTGTCTATGTATGTATGTGTGTGTGTGTATGTACGTATGCACGTATGTACGTATGTACGTATGTATGTGTGTACGTATGTGTGCATGTATGCATGCATGTATGTATGTATGTATGTATGTATGTATGTATGTATGTATGCATGCGTGTATGTATGTGTGTATGCAACTGTATGCGTGTATTTATGTATACACGTCTATATGTACATATGTAGGCGCATGCACCGGGGCTGTGTTACATCTATCTATCTGTCTGTCTGTCTGTCTGTGTCTGTCTGTCTGTCTGTCTGTCTGTCTGTCTGTCTGTCTGTCTGTCTATCCGTCTATCCGTCTATCTACCTCTCGTTCTATCAATCTATCCATCTATCGATCTCGCTCTATTGATCGATCTATCCTGAAAGGGCCATTTTCTTGGCGTGCATTTCTTTCACGGGGGCTCCAGGCTGTTTTGCGCATACCAACACAGCACAAATAGCCTCAAACGGAACCTCAGGACCCGAAACCTTCATAGGTTTGGAATGGTGGATTCGGGGGTTTGAGCCCCTGGCTGTTGTACAGGGTAAATGGGAAACCAGTCCAAATCACCGAGAGAGCAAGTGATTCCATGAGCCAAGGCAACTCCTTTCTGCGAAATCCAAGGACACGTTTGAGCACCCAGCAACTGACTTTGCATTGCTTTGACCTTTTTGGGAGGTCGGATTTTCAGACCAAAGAAATGCCCTCTCTACCATCAAACTCCACCAGGCTGGACTGTTGGATTCCATCAAACCACACCTTTCCAACATGCCAGTATAGCTGGAGGGTCACTAAGCAGCTCAAACAAAAGGGGGAAAGCTCTGCTCTGATCATTTTGCGGTGAAAGCAAAAAAGCTGCTTGAGCAACTTGACTTTGGGATGCACAGCTTCAGCGCCTCATCTCAATCCATGTCCTCCAAGGCCGAGGTTCCTAATCCTGCACCTGTCGCCGGGGAAAGACTCCGTGAGCCTGCAACTTTCGGTTGCAGCTTCTCTGGATTGTGCTTGGCACAGTTTCCTCGGCCGTTAATGCCCTGCAGGCGTCTTTGCTGTTGTTCATCAATTATCCCAAACTTGAAAGCCTCCTTGATACATTGACTGAAGTTTCCTCGGATCTGCTCGAAATCCGGATGGCCTTTGTCCTGCAACAACCTCTTCAGATCTTCATGCTCATCCATTTGCTCTTCTAAAGCCTCCATTTGCAGCTCCTTGTCTGTCCGACAAAGCTGACTAGAGCCAGGCATTGAGGACGCAGCATTAGCATAGCCCCTGGTCTTAGAATCCGCGGCTTTTGCCGCCCCAAAAGTAAGTGTCTCCAACGCAAGCTTGGCTGCAAGTTGCTCTGCGTCAGCTTTCCTCCTTCCTGGGCAGGGCGATCGAATATCAGTGGAACCCACAGTGACTGTGGAGATGAAGCCCCCATATTCAGACTGAGGCGTGTCGTAGGTGGGCAAAGTGTTGGCCTTCTGCTGGAGTTGGCTCTTAAAATCGTGTCGTAGCTCTTGAGGAATCAAGTGCTGATGTGAGTGCAAGTCTTTGTGCAAGTTCACAAAACGCATTGCCTCCTGTTCTGCCATCCTTTGTGCGGCAGTCTTGTCGACATCCGTGCAAGTAAATGGCGGCAGATGACCCAGAGAAACCTTAGCAAGAAATTGTCCGCCTACCGGTTCTACGTCAAACTTCGCAGCATGCTGCCCGAACAATGCCAACAACTCCCCTTTGGCATTTTCAGTCGGAGCTGTACCCACGGGAACCCCTGCCACCCCTTCCTGACTCGCCCTCTGGCCCGAGGGATTTCCCTCGGACATGGCATGAGCCGGCGCAATTTTCCAACTGGGCTTTTTGGAGTCCGGGTGCTTCATAATCTGACTCTCCCTTTCAAGGCCGTAGAGGTGAGGATTTACATCGCTCTTCCTGGAAATCTGTGGGTTCTGCCTCAAGCAATCCAGGATCTCCTTTGTCTCTGTCCAGGAGTCCTCCCTCTCGCGCAAAAAACGCAAGATTTGTGCCTTAGGATCCATGCCATGGCAAACATGCAGCAGCGGAGGCTGAGCTGCACAGCTGCGCAAATGCTGTGAAAGCATGCATGTTTCTTCCGAAATCAGCATGAAGGATTCCTTTCGGGGCGAAGATTTGTGCTGATGCAATGCGAACACTGGGCATTACCTACGACGATGAACGCGCAGGTGGTCCCTTCCACAACAATAGATGCCGCAAGAATCCGCTACATGCTTGCAGTACAAAGCGTTACTATCTCTGACCCTTGCATGTGAACCAACTGCACAGTCCAGGCTATTCTTAGGCTCCTCGACTCAAGCTTAACGACTGGCTCACCAGGGCGATCGGTGTAGCTCCCAACTTGAAATCCGCAATCACGTGGAAAACTGGTTTGGTCGCACAGAGCCACTACAAACCGCTGATCGCTCTTTGACAGTTTGTGTCGGTCAAACCGAAGGCACATCCCACGACTACCCCGCCTGATCGGAAACGGCAACGGCGTAGCATGGCATTGAGCCGCAACATGGTGATTGTTTTCATAAACATATATATATATAATGGTTGACTCATCAAGACGCCTTAATTATAGTAATTACCTGTACTTACCCTGAACTCCACTTTCATGTGGGAATCAAAAAAGAAGCAAGCACCTAGAAGCGACACTGCGGTGTTTTTTGAGGGTTCCCCCCAAAAATGACACTCATATGAGTTCTGAGCCATTTTTTCAGGCAGAGACCCAAGCGGTATGAACCTCAATACTCCTGTAGGTGGGTAAAGAACAACTGAATTCAAGGGAGGGGGCTCCGTGATAATCCCTACCCATGTGAAAGCGTGTTTTGACCGTGGCACAGGTGGTTGTGTGTCAAAAGATGTGGGCCGCCGCTACTTTTGCCTCTCAGTGTCATCCTTTCAACTCCAACGCCCCAGAAGAAACGTGAAGTGACCACCCTGAGCACAGCTTTCTGTTCATGACGGACTACTATGGATTTGAAGATTTTACCCTGGAAGCATGCTATTCCGCTCGAATAGTCCAGATGACGATGAAAGTGCATCTAATCTCTTGCTTGACAATGTTACACGGCCAACGCATGACCAATTTGCATGACACTTTCCCTGAAGCTGTGGACAGGAGGGCACATGCCGAAACAGGCATTTGACCTTTGCCTTTGATTCCCATTTTGGGGGTCCCTGTCCATTCTCCACAGCTGTTCGAGCCAGTTAGCAGCCTAGTGCATCACATATGGGTGTGTGGGTTTTTGCCCCCCGCAAAAAAAACACAACAAATGGCAGTGTTTCTTCAGGTTTCCTTTTAACGCCAGCAATCAAGGGGTACCCTTATGCTGCGGAAGCTCCTGTCTTGCAAAACGCTGTTTTGGGCGCGCACCAATCGAGCATCACCTCTCTTGAAGTCGACCTGAGGCTCGTTCTAAAGCCGAACCCACATTTGGGCAGGTTTCTTGCTTCCCAACCCTCTTTAGCATGCAGCCGCCCCACTTTGCAGGTACAGCGGGGGGGTCGGATTACGCGCTGACAGCGTGACCACTAGCGGCTTGCCAAACCATGTGAGTAGCACCCACAACCTATTAACTTTGGTTCTGCTCACATGGCTGCAAAGGGCGAAGCACCCATGGCAAAAGGAGGCGGGACTTGTGTGGGACTTTGGCAGGTCAGGCTTGGCATTCGAGGTCTATGGGTGCTTGGGCGCTGCTCATGTGGCACATAAGAGTGCAGGCAAGCTGCGACCAATCCTCGCCAATCTAAATGAAGACGCTCTGCTCTCCCTGAGCCAGCACCTAAAGGCACAAGAAGCAGGCGTGCATTCAGAATCATGTTAGCCCTCTTTGTGTGTATTCTTGGGTGTGCTTTTTGAGGTTCCCTTTCAGCTGCAAAAGGAGGTTCCCTGGAAATTCAGATTAGCTCGTTTGACTTTTTTTGGGTCAGAATGCTTGCCTGTGGGAGTGGATGTGCATTGTAACAGGTGCTTGCGTGCATGTGTGTGGGTGTATGCCGCTGCACCTGCGTCCGTGCGTGCCTGTCGTGTGCTGTGCTTGTGTTGTGTGTTCTGTGTGTTCAGTGCTTGTCTGGTGTGCTGCGTCGTGTTTGCTGCTTTGGGCTGTGCTGTGTGTAGTTGTGGTGTTGTGTGGTTTCTCTGTCTGTTTGAGTGTAGGTCAGGTGCGCGCGTGTGCATGCGTGCGCGGGGGTGTGGTTGCGTGTGTGCGTGCGTGCGTGCGTGCGCGTGCGCGTGCGCGTGCGCGTGCGCGTGCGCGTGAGCGTGCGCGTGCGCGTGCGCGTGCGCGTGTGCGTGCGCGTGCGCGTGTGCGCGTGCGCGTGCGCGTGCGCGTGCGCGTGTGCGTGTGCGTGTGCGTGTGCGTGTGCGTGTGCGTGTGCGTGTGCGTGTGCGTGTGCGTGCGTGCGTGTGCGCGTGCGCGTGCGCGTGCGCGTGCGCGTGCGCGTGCGCGTGCGCGTGCGCGTGCGCGTGCGCGTGCGCGTGCGCGTGCGCGTGCGCGTGCGCGTGCGGGTGCGGGTGCGTGTGCGTGTGTGTGTGTGTGTGTGGGTGGGTGCGTGCGTGCGTGCGTGCGTGCGTGCGTGCGTGTGTGCGTGCGTGCGTGCGTGCGTGCGTGCGTGCGTGTGGTGTGTGTGGTTGTGTGTGGTTGTGTGTCGTTGTGTGCGGTTGTTTGTGTGTGTCTGTGTGTCTGTGTGTCTGTGTGTCTGTGTGTCTGTGTGTCTGTGTGTCTGTGTGTCTGTGTGTCTGTGTGTGTGTGTTTTTGTGTTGAATCTGTGTGCATGTAGACCTGAGATTCATCTGGCCTGATTTGATACCGGGATGTCCGACAACCCCAGACACATGCATAGTTGTCAAACTGCCTGAGAATAGACGCACGAGCTCTGAGGACATGCAAAAAACAGAGCGCGGGTGACTATGTACCCGGCGCGCACTAAAAGGCCTACATGTGTGAAAATAGGAATCAATGCCCCAAAAATGGGATCGGCTGTCCTTTTAGTGTCCCTTCACCAACGTGAAAGGGTGCTCTACAATTTTACATGAATCCCCAAAAACAGGGTTCCTCCCAAAAATAGTATGTAGAAGAGTACCGAGGCTCAAACAGTCCCATATGAATGTTAATAGGGAACCATCTCAAAAGTGGTTGGTGGACAGCTTTCTCCCAACGACATTCTGATGTTCATTAAAAGGGACCCTAGTAAAAATCAGACCCCCGAACCTCATATCCAAGCCAGCAATCAAGGGGTACCTGTATCAAACATTTGCCAACCCCCAAATCAGCTGGGTGTGTCTTTCTTTTTTCACAACCCGAATGATGATTTTCCCGTTATCTCTCAAAACCTCACAAAAATACACCCCCGGCCATGTCCATTTTGGAGCTGGCATCTGTGGTTCGCATCCAGTAACACCGTCTGACTTTGCTGCACATTTAGTCAACCCTAGAATGTGAAATAGTTCAGCAAACACTATTGCTGGCACCCGAACTATTCTCATCATAAAATAGTTCAGCAAATTTTTCGGATCATAAGCATGTCACGCCAATTTGCTGGCACCCGAAAAAAACGACGCAGCCATGTGGCCACCCGAAAAACCGTCCCTCAGGCCTTGGGCTTCTGCACACACGAGCCCGGGCCCGGGGGAGCATCGCGGCCCTGGCCGCCCACTACGCCGCTGTGAACGCCCCGCGCCAGCAACTGGCACCTGAGGAAAGGGGGTTAGGCACATGCATAGAGACACATATACATATATATACATATACCTATATAGATATAGTACATAAATGTCATATGCAGGCATATGCGCATATGTATATAAAATACACATACATCAATATGTGTTTGTATGTATGTATGTATGTAGGTAGGTAGGTAGGTAAGTATGCATGCATGGATGTATGTATGCATGCATGTATGGATGTATGGATGTATGCATGGATGTATGTATACCCCATGGTTTCACAAGCTGAAACCAACGTTGCTCAAATAACCTTGGCCTCCATAACGAAAACCATGGGTTATAATGTTCGCTCCGGTCCTGTTCTGTATGTAGTCCCCTTCAACACATTCAAACCAGGTGACTTGGTGAAGAACGACTCAAGGGCACTTTTGGAGTCTGAAAGGGCATGTAATTCAAAACTTGGGCTGCCTCTCCTGCCAGAAAATTCCGACCGGACTTACTCATTAAACCACTATTCAGCAACCTGTTGGAACACTTAAGGTCACCCAAACTTTTGGTCCAAACAATTTTGCTTGGGTTGCCAAAGCAAACCAGTGGTTGCTTGCACGTCCCTCACGGGGAAAAACCAACTCGGCTGAACCTCTGAGCTGACAGCCTCCTTGTTTGCAGAACTGATCCGCTTGATTGGCACACAGATGTGCCATTATATTATATATATATATATAGTATGTATGGTCAGCCCATGTATACACTATATATATATATATATACACATGTATGCACATACACAATAATGTTACACCCACTTTAATGAAAGTCGCCGCTATTGTGAAAATATTTTCGCAATTCGGGATACTGAGACTGTTTTAGGGGTCCGCTATTGTTGCAAGTTTTTCCCCTCCCCCGAAAAATCCAAAAAAAGTACAGGCTTGTTTGTTTTCAACTCTCTGGTCTGGGCAGGCTCAGGTCGGGCTCAAGCTAGACTAAGCCTTAGCTGATGTTGAGCTGGAGGCTGGTTCTGAGCTAGCCTGAGGTCTAGGAAATGCATTTTGCAAGTTGTGCCCAAAACATCAAATTTATGATAACTTCTTTACAAAAAAGCAAGGTGAATCAATCACACAAAGGGGGTTGCCCACAACCAACCCTGATCCTCTTTAGTGTGATTGTTTTGGGGTCCTCTTTAGTGATCAACTGGTTTTGGGAGCAAATCTCAAAAGGAAGCTCTACCAATACTAAATCATTTGAAACTTAGTTCCCAATCTCAAAAGGAGGCTCCAGCAATACTAAATCAAATGGGAACTCAGTTCCAAAATCTCAAAAGGAAGCTCCAGCAATACTAAATCAAATGGACTCAGTTCCAAAATCTCAAAGGAAGCTCCAGCAATACTAAATCAAATGGAAACTCAGCTCCAAAATCCCAAAAGGAAGCTCCAGCAATACTAAATCAAATGGAAACTCAGTTCCAAAATCTCAAAGGAAGCTCCAGCAATACTAAATCAAATGGAAACTAAATTCCAAAATCTCAAAAGGAAGCTCCACGCAATACTAAATCAAATGGAAACTCAGTTCCGGATCTCGAAAAGGAAGCTGCAGCAATACTAAATCAAATGGAAGCTCAAGTCTACCAATACTAAATCAATTTGAAAGTCCCACCCAGACCCCCAGGGTTTGCCTAAACAGGGTCCTGCTGACTGGTTCCATTGTTCAGGGGGGGGGGGGATCATATTAAAGCAGGTCCAACATTAAAGAAGAGCATGCGAGGCTCACTGCAAGGGTTTGTGTGATGTACAGTGGTTCTGGGGCAGAACAACTTTAGTCGATCAGTTGACGCGGTCTTGTGGACCTGTCCTAACGGGCAAGTAGAGAAATTGCTGTAGGATGGAGTGCGCAAAGTGAACCAACAGGAACCCTTTGTGATCCCTTTGTGCTTTTTTGGCATATCCCTTCCTTGCACGAATTGTTGTGTGCAAACCAAGCGCCAAATGGGCTTGGATTATTCATACTGCAGCCATTTCGCATACCAAACAAGTAGCCGCGGATGTCCACGACGGATCCAAAGTTCTATCAGAGGGCAACATCCCCTGCCGCAAACTGCGCAAGACATAGTTCACGCCTGAAAAGCTGAGACGCCCTTCAGAAATGTCAGACAGGGTCAGCTTAGTCACGGTCCAGCTTGGAGACCGGTGATTCCGTTGGAGATTGGCATATCAGGAGTGCCCAGAAGAACTGGCTTCGTGTGGACCCCAAGGAAGGAGCAACCCTGACGTGACAAAGTGTGGATCCCATTGAAATCCAGGCACCTGGTTGGCTTCATGTAACTCTAGCAGCATCATGATATCAACCTTTCTTTGGCAAATGATGATGCCATAGCCGCTGGATTATTTGAAAGGTGTTCTAAGCCTACCAACCAGGGATGGAAAGCGGGACGGCTCGTTGGCACTGGCTCAACAGGTGACCCTTAAAGCTGCAATTGACTTCACCTTTCTGCCAACTCTGCAAACTTCTTATCCGCGCTCCAACCAAAATCACACCACAAGCTGGTCCGAACCCACCTCTCACGCATAGCCGTCCTTTCGGACAAATAGATGAGCTTCTCTGGGAAAACCCATCTAAACCACTGGAATCCTTTTTTCTTGCCCAACCCTAAGAACACACCTCTCTCCCCACCCGACTTCGCACCTTGTCGCGCGAAGTCGCCCGCGCGACAACGCGCGACGTCGCGCGCCTGAAGCGCTGGAGCCTGGGCTCCGCCTCCGCGGTGGAGTTGGCGCTCGGGTCGCTCCAGAGCCGCTCCGCGATGGCGGCGGCGCGGGGCCACACCGTGAACTCCAGGTCCGAGGGGTCCTCGGCGAGGCGCAGCCGCGCGCGGCCGGGCGCGGCCGCCCAAAAGAGGGAGGCTTCCGCACGCGGGGATCGCCCGCCAAAAAAAAGAGATCCCCTCAACAAGAAGACAAGTCAACATCTATACAGTGATTACTGGGGTAAACAAACTATTAGTATTTTTCTGCTCATTCTAGTACCCTCCCGGCATGTAAGCTACTAATCCCTACCTTGGCAAGCCATATGTTCTGATTCGTTTTTTTGCTTCGTCGACCCCTAAATCACCCAAACATCTTCTGAGGAAAGCACACCCGCAAAGTCGGCTTGCCCAAGAGGGAGGTTCCATGTCTTACGAGGCTTCGATTGGTATCGCAGAAATAAATCAATTGGTTCCCACCGTGCTTTTAATGGAAGACCCAAAACGGAGGAGAGCTTTTGAAGGAAACTCAGTGCAATGCAGCGCGAGAAAGTCTGCTCCTCCCAAACATGACCCACTTTCCCTGGACTGATGCAGTATTTTTCCAGCCCCCTCCAAATTGTATGTGCACCTTTCATGTACATGGCGAGAAGTGATGCCCGCACACACTACATGGTGGCCTTCGGACACAGAAAGAATGGAGGGAATCGAGGGAACACCGTGGATAGTCAACTCTTCTCTTCAACTCCAATTTGTGCTCTTCAACACTGGTTGCATTCCCCCCATCTTCCCCCCAAAAGATGTTGAACAACAAATGTATTCCAAGCATGTAAGCCCCCTTGATCCGATTTGTGAGGCCCGGTGACTCTGCAATTCCTCCCCAATCGCAATCCGACACAGTTAAGACAAGCTGGTATCCTTTGTCTCTTACCATGTCGAAAGAGCCCGAAGCTGTCACCCCCGTGGACAACAAACATTTGCTCCCCTAGAACAGTCCCTCAGCCTGAAGAAATGGATATGGAAGCGCACAACTCGCTTGCCCAAACGGGGCCCCAGAAGCAAAAAAGGTTTACCTTTTAGAAATCCACTAAACACGGATGGGAAACCAAATGGTCAAAAGGTCCATTCGCTTGGGACAGCTGAGAAAACCATGGTGATTCCCGGGACGACCACTTCAACTCATCCTTAAATTAAGGCGCCGAAAAACAACTTCCGTGTGGTTGGCATTTCGATGCACTGCCCAGGTGCCATCCACAGCGCCCCCGGAACAACCACCCCCTACCTGGGCAAACATCTTAAAGCTTTCTGATGAGGTGTTCAGGAATTTGAGCGTCCAGGAACCTTGCGGAAGCCTCCGGAATCCTATCTCCAGCTGCTGCGTGTAAGAACTTAATACTTAATCCTATGCAGAAACCGATCCGTGTGTGCGAGCGTCCGTGCGTGCGTGTGTGCGTGTGCGTGTGCGTGTGCGTGTGCGTGTGCGCGTGTGGTGTTAGTGTGTTAGTGTTAGTGTTAGTGTTAGTGTTAGTGTTATGAGTGTTAGTGTTAGTGTTAGTGTTAGTGTTTGTGTTTGTGTGTGTGGGTGTTGTGTGTTCGGCATCGGGTGTTTGTGGGACAATCAATGCCTTTAGACGATTACTTTGAAGCGTGCTGGTAAGCATATGCCACCAAGAACATGTCAGTACAGAGAGTGTGCTACGGACAATCCAATTGGGTGTGTTTCTTTGGGGCACCTCCAAAATTGTGGCTTTCCAGTTTGTTTCCCTTTAAAACCACCCCAAAAAGGGGCACCAACTCCAAAAACGACACCGCCCACGTCAACTACCAACCGGTTCAACAGGAGTACCGATGCTGCTGCAGAGGCGCGACAGTTTCACCCCACATGCAGCCTTCGCCGCCAATGACGAGGTGTGCCTTGTCAGAGCTGATGTTGGTCAAAGGCTCGAGCACCTGACAGCGAAAGACTAAGCCAGGCAGCCAAACAAGACCTTTTTGCGTAGGCGTATTAACCAGTCAAAACAAACTCCACACCAAAAGGTAAGGTCAACGTCTGCAGTAAATAGAATGACAAAGTCAATACGAACCACCTACCATGAGGAAAAAAGCGAACACGAGCCGCTCGCTGCCGTGGGGAACAAAGAATACTAGTGGCTGTGAGAAGGACCACGCTCCGTTTCCCAGAGCTCCAATTTGCATGTCATGCTAGCACGGTAGGTCTATCCAGCGGCGTCCGCATGGAAATGAACCGTATCGAACACGCTTGAACTTGAATGGATCCGAAAATCCCAAGTACCTCACATCCAGTTCCTGTCCGGTGGGATCCAGAGTATTCATGGAACATGAGGAGGCTCGCAGGCTCCAAATTGACAACCTCTTGCCCGAAAAGGGATCCCCCAAAAAAGAATGCATAGCTTTGGGGGACATGAGATAGCGAGACTCAGCCCGGAAACCAAAAGGCTCGGGCCAAAGCACGGCCAAAGCCATGCTTTTCCAAACTGCGTAAACTAATTAGAGGGTATCAAGATGGGCAATTGCGGCTTGCCTTTTGCTGTTGCGGGGAAGGCTCAGGAGAGGCGCTGATTTGAGTGGCAAGCGCAGTACTTTGGAGGGCCACGTGCTGAATTTGTGTGGCAGGCGCAGCACTTTGGAGCGCAGAGTGCTGATTTCGTGGCCGGCGCAATACTTTGTAGGGTCGAGCATTCATGACAGGCGCAGCACTTGGAAGCACGACTCGCAGGAGCGCTGATAGATAACAAGATAGGCAGAGACAGACAGACAGACAGACAGACAGACAGACAGACAGACAGACAGACAGACAGACAGACAGACAGACAGACAGACAGACAGACAGACAGACAGACAGACAGACAGACAGACAGACAGACAGACAGACAGACAGATAGGAGGAAGAGGTAGATAAATAGATAGATAGGAAGATAGAAAGATAGTTAGACAAACAGACAAAGGGACAAAGGGAGAAACACCCAGAGGGACAGACAGACAGAGAGAGACAGAGAGAGATAAAGATGCAAAGAGAGACATAAATAGAGATAATGATAGCTGTACAAATGAAATAATAAAAGGAGGACAACATGTATAGACACATAGACAACAAATATAGCTTAGATTTGACTAGCATACATCAGATTAGATTAGACTAGACTTTGTCAAAACCAACAAAATATACAGTACAGTACGTAGGCAAGATTATAGTCTAATAGATAAATAGATTATATTGGACTTATAGATAGGATAAATAGATAGAAATATAGGTAGGTAGCTAGGGTAGGTAGGCAGGCAGGCAGGCAGGTAGGTAGGTATGTGGGTGGGTGGGTAGGTAGACAAATAATCAGGGAGTCGGAGAGATAGAAAATTAGATGGGATTAGATTATAGTATATTGTAATAGAACTGATAGACAGGTTATGCAGAGGAGAGAAAAGCAGAGCAGAGACTGGATAGATAGGTAGGCAGGTAGGTAGATAAAGAGACAGGGATATAGATAGATGTACTGATGCGCAGATGGACAGACGGATAGACAAATAGATGGGTAAATAAATAGATGCACAAAATAGATGCATGGATTCATAGGCAGGCAGATGGATAGACAAATCAATCACAGGCAGGTAACTAAATAGGCAGGGACACACCCCGCACACGCAACGGTAGCTTCGGGCAATGAATCTGCATACGGGTTCGTGGCTTCTGGATCAGGCTCACCAACCCCCAAAAGGGTAAACTCAAGAATCAGGGAATAAGGGAATGACCCGATGACCCCCAACAACCACAACAAACCATCCTGTATGGTCTCCTTTAACGGAATGAATCCCTAGGTTCAATCCCAACCCTGGGTATCCTGGGTCATTCCTTGCTGAGCACCAGTAAATTGAGCTGTGCAACACACGCATGAGATGCATGAGACAGTGATTGCTCTGTGCAAGACTTTCGATCTTCAGGCAACACCCGCCACATGCAAGCGAGTAAAACATGTCTTGAACAAGCTTCCGTTATGCAACAATGTGGCAACCATGCTAGACCATACTTAAGAAAGCAAGTTCAAGCATAAGGAGCCAGGCGTGCAATGTACCATTTTGCTTTCTGCAACTTCATTTTGGCAGTGCCTCCCCACTTTCTCGCGTAGGGCCCTCTCACTTGTCCAATGGGGCAAGTTAGGTCGAAAAGGGCCGCGATTTTTTTCGCCAGGAGGCATACATGTTCTCCCAGGTGGCTTTCAAGCCGTCCAGGTACCACCCTGATGGCGCCCAAGGTTTCCAGTTGATACATGGGCAAAGGGGCCCCAAGTGCAGACAGCTTCAATGCAAGGGGTCCCTTTTTCCTTCTTCTTGCAAAAACTTCCCAGATATGGGAATGGTTCTGCCTTTTTGGTTTGTTTTGGGAGGGTACCGTTTTTGGGGTTGGCATGGTTGGCTTAAAAAGAGACTAAGGGAAACCACCCTCAGTTGATCTATGTGTTTTTATTTGTGGTGGGCACCCCGATTTGATTGACACATGCTCACCATGGGGGATCAAGTTACACTTTGGGTTGAAAGACCCAGATCCTCAAGGACCGGAGAGCGCCCAGACGCGCATCATATCCACAACGAATTCGTGAGGTACCCGCAGTTGACATGAAGTGGACCTCCATTTGCGGATACGTCCCCTGGGAAAAATGCAAATATGTCCAGTAGTGATAGATTCCCTTTTTACAACCAACAGGGTTGAAAAAACAATATTGTTGACCAAATGGAAGTGGAAGGACGCCTGTTTCCTGGCGCTTTCACGGATCCATAGCTTGGTGCACAGGCTTCGTGAGGTCATAGCTTGTCTTGCTTGCATTCAAGCAGCCGTTCGTGTAGCCGCCGTTGGAAGAATAGATCGCTCGATAACCTGAGCTGAAACAAATGACAAGCAACAACACGACGCGACGAAAGCACACCTGTTGAGACAAGTAACTCTTGGAGCTTGCCAGGTACTTGGGCTCTGCGTTTAGATGTGCAAAGGTTCACCAAGTCTCTGCTCGAAAACAGTGGAGACCAAAAACCGCGCTCTATCTCTCTCTCTCTCTCTCTCTCTCTTTCTACTTGACCCTTTGTGCCATATCCGTCCCTGAGTCATGCTGTGGGAAACCAGGGACGAGTCATCTGGGTTGGTCTTGGATCCGCAAGAATCCGCCGAATTGTTGATACGCAGGCAAGATCAAGCGATGCGAAGCGTCGCGCCACTTCTGGCCGGCGGATGCGCCAAATCAGGCACCAAAAATGGTAGGTTTTGGGGGTTGGTTTGATGCTTGTCTTCAAGAGCTAAATGCATTTGGTGTTGTTTTTGTGCAGTTTGCTGTGGCTTTTTTCTTTTGGTTGCTCCATTTCGGGTTTGAACCTGTAGAGAGCTGATTTCATGCATTAATTGCAACATCTTCATGTCATCAGCTCTTCAACTGTGCGAGCGTTTGGCTTTTAGAAAGGATGGGGCGTGTTAACATCTTCGGCATTGCCTGTTTTTTTTCGGTCCGCATAATTCCCAGCATTGCCTGTAATCTCGTCTTCCAAAAGCAGCTGAAGCTCTTGAGTCAACCATCGGACGCCTTTATGCAACTAGCTTCCAGCGTTCCCTGAAACATCCTCGGCGCTGCCTGTGACTGATGCTTGGAAGAACTTGACTTCATTGGATGCAATCCCGTACAATAGATCGAACAGTTCAAGCCCTACAATGTCAGCAAACGGTCTTTGGGCGCGACGAGCAACCCTTACTCAATGCAACTTCATAATGTTGATCTCAGCCCCAGTTTACAATAGGGGCAGGGTGTCCCTGGGGATTCAGCACTGTTGCAGGGAAACACCCCCCCTATGAATAGGGCGTCTGTGGATCACTCTGCTTTCAGTGCCCAGAACCAAGTCCAAAGGTCGACCCAGCGAGGCGTCTGTGAACATCAGCCACAAAAAGAACAACTCGCTTTTGGCTTAGCACCATCCGAACCCAACGACAAAAAAAGAACAAGCTTTAAGGGAAAAATGGGGCTCGGGTGCAAGGCAACGGGGCAGTCAGGCAGTCAGGCAGCCAGCATCAACGATTTTCTGCATCAGCGATGCGTCGTGCCAGTTCTGAATCACCGCATCCTGAGGGCAAGGTCTTTCAGTCTGGGCGTTGGTCACGGGAAGGAGCCAATTGGATCCAAAGCTGTAATTCAAATGTCGAACTCCAATCCGCGGAAGTGGACAGTAAAGCCGACTGGAGGGCAATTCCCAAAGAGGAAACCCCCTGTGCGTTTTGCGTTTTGGTGATCTGCTGGAAGAATTAGTCACTCGGGAGCGACTTGTTCTTGAGACCCCCCCCAAAAAAAAAACAGGTGGCTGTCCTTTCGGTTTTTTCTTTCAAGACCACAGAAAAAATGGGCGCCCTCAAAATCAGACACACCCACTTGTTCTCTGGTTGAAAAGAGGCGTAAATCAAACGGAGTCTCGTGCTATTCCAGAAACCGTCGTTGCCATGGAACCGTAGTGAGGGGTGCTGGGTCCAACGAGTTTCCTTTCAACAAAAAAAAGTGGGTTCCATGGCATCCGGTGCCAACGGATACCGAAAAAATGCGTGGCACTGTGTCACTGTCCATGGTTAAAGTTCAACCCTGCACCAGTTGAAATATGTCTCATGACATGCAGTCCCAAACGTTCTTCACCAGAAAGTGAAATGCTTTCGGCTTGTTGTTTGGCGGTCGAAAACAGAACCATCAGTGACTGACCCGAGCCAAGCGGTGCGATTCCCGGGTCTCCTGGGGCGGCTTGGCAGACAGAAAGGCTTCCTGAGCTACGACAGGTTTCACTGAAGTCAGCTTCCCGTGCCCGGGGAAGTTTGGTGGAGGGGCTCAAAAGCCCTCTACAAGAACCAGGGGTTCAAATCCAAAGCACCAACCCAAAACACCAACTAGAAAAAATGAGCTGAAATGGCTGTGGCTCAAAAGGAGTTGGCCCAAAATGGAAGCCTCGTGAATGGAAAGGACAACCTGCAGTCTGACACTTAAACTTTAAGCCACACAGTAAGGGATCCGTTTCCATACACCGAGCCGAAATCATGTCATGGGAGCCCAGCTCGGCTTTCCACGTATCTTCGCGGAACTCCGTCGTCACATATGCCCCGATAAGGGTGTATCAAATGCAAACATTCCGTACGATCCAACCAAACCTGAAAAAAAAGCTGGTTGACAGGTTGACGCCATCCGGCTGAACATGGTCAGGCAGGCCGGACTTCGTGTCAATAGTCAAGACGCCCGTGAACAGAGATGGTTCACCTTGAAGCATCTGGGCCGTTGCACAAGGATTGCTGAGGCAAAAGATGACCTGAAGCCAGCGGTGAGACTGAGCTCCGTCGCCCAATCAATGTAAGGCTCATCCCAGAAGATCGTCTGCCTGCCCAACTTCTGGGAGATTCCAGCCATTTGGTTCACGAAGTAGTTAAAGACCTCAGCGATGCAGGGTGAATCAGCATATGCTAGGAACCCACAAGCAAAACCCATTTCTGGAGAAAGAACCACTTGTCGGGCATTGTATAAGACTAATAATTTGAGGCAGGCGTGCTTGGGAACAGCAGAAATCGCTACGAACCGTACCAAACAACAAATCAGGCATCAACACAAAACAGAAAAGAACTCTTCTCCAGCAGCTTGCATCACCAACAGAGCGGCCTGCATTCCTCCGCGCATCGTGCATCCGCAGTATCATCAGCAGATGCACATGGCCGAGTGCGAGGGTTTGGGGTGGTGTCAGAGTTTGTCGCACCTCAAACTCTGCTGAAAAACCGCTCGAGGCCAGCTGCTCTTGGCTAAGGAAAGGAAACTCCAGCTGGAAGACTACATCGCGAAATAGACATCTTGACTGGCAAATTCATCTCCGCGTCTGGCAAGCTTCTATGTCTCTACGTAAAGGAGCACTTGGCTCACAATTAACAGAATGGTTCCGGAAGCAACACACAGCTGAGGCCGCAGCATCGCTCGAGTTGGAGAAGCCCATGGTCTTCCTAAGGTGCAAAGGGTCAAAGAGCTGGAACCCGAGCAAGAACCCGTCCAAGCTGCCGGCTATGGAACTTCCTGGTTATCTTCCTCTTTTTATTTCGCTTTATACTTCTCTTTCTTGTTCTCTTGTTCTTCTTGCTTCTACGTGCCTTTGTCTTGCTCTTTCGCTTTCCCCTTGTCTCTATCTTCCTCTTCCTGTTCCTCTCTTTCCCTTTCTTCCCTTTCTTCCCTTTCTTCCCTTTCTTCCCTTTCTTCCCTTTCTTCCCTTTCTTCCCTTTCTTCCCTTTCTTCCCTTTCTTCCCTTTCTTCCCTTTCCCTTTCTTCCCTTTCCCTTTCTTTCCTTTCTTCCCTTTCTTCCCTTTCCCTTTCTTCCCTTTCTTCCCTTTCTTCCCTTTCTTCCCTTCATTCCTTCCTTCCTTCCTTCCTTCCTTCCTTCCTTCCTTCCTTCCTTCCTTCCTTCCTTCCTTCCTTCCTTCCTTCCTTCCTCCTTTCTTTTATTTCTTCCTTTCTTTTATTTCTCTCTTTCTTGGAGGGTTAACCATGTGTGTGATGGCTGCGCAGCGCCAAGCAAAACATACTTTACCTCGAACCTAAGCAGTCTGCTTGGCCAAACTACGGCAAGCGGGCTAGTTGTGGCGGTCGGGATGTCACTTACAATCTAACAACCCCAAACCTGTCGGGGGAAAACATGCGGAAGGGTCACTAAAACACCGAAAAAATATCACGAGTTACCTGATCCTTCACCCGTTTTACCTTCACATTTATCCGGCTGGCCAATGGGGAGATGAAAGCCAAGCCACCTTCCACGCCTGCCTCAAGAAAGACGCAGAACAGGTGCGAATTCGCCAAGGCTCATCCAGGCAAGGTCTTTGGTGTTGTTCCAGCAGCTAGCAGGGACCTGCGTAAAGCCAAACTAAGAAAATGCGACGTCCTTGCAAAAACGACAACGCACATGCAGGTTCACGGGAAACAGGATTGAACAAGGCAAATGTGTGCTTCGTGAAGAATCACACAAAACCATTCAACAACTCTGGTGTGCCCACGACAAGATTCATGCGTAGCAGCTAAAGAATGCACTGTTCACATCTGGGTATTGCTTGCAGCCTTTTGCACTGCCAAACAATGGACTCCGCTTTACACACATCCGCCGCCCTCTATTCCAATTAAAGATTAAACATCTAAGCGCGATCAAACCATCGATTCAACCCTTCAGGAAAAAGGAAAGAACTGCGATCAGACCATTGAGTCAAGCCTTTAGGATTAACTGTCTGCTGATACCCAACCAGGACAAGGAAATAAAGCTTTCTGGTGATTTCAACATTCTGGTCTCACTTGAGAAGGGTCCCTTGGTCCCAACTTTCTGCTCAGATGTTTGTCAAGCTACCTCGTCGCTGCCCAGGTGGAGGAAGCCGTCGGGAAACAGGGCGCTCCAATCCTTCAGAGCTGCCTGCCGTCAGAGGCCGCGAGGCCCATACCGCCAACAAAAAGTTTGGCATGTGTGTGAACCCTGCTCCTCTTATTCACCTCCAGGCTGTTACAAAGGGTAGCTTTCCCAGGCTCCGGTTTGGGAGCTTACAGAAATGCGGAGATCTGTTGTTGCATTCTCGTTTCGCGATTGATTCATATATGGGTGTGAACTTTAATTGGGGAACCTTTGGTGGATATCACTTACATGGGGATTTATCTACCAGCCACTGATGGGTTCCCTATTTAAATTCATGGTCACATTTGATCCTTCGCAACGACACAATGAGCTCAACAGGGGAGGTCAATCATCACAAAGATGAAGAGTCCCACACACTTAAACACACGCACACACCAACTCTCCAAGACAGGATCAACAAACAGCTTCAGTAGCACCGGATCCGTTCAAGTATGCAACCGTTTTTGGCAGGCTCCCGAAATCAGATGTAAACCACCCTTTTGGAGGCTGAGGTTGAGGGTCCATTGAGGGTGACGCTCTTTATGGGCCCTGCTGGTGAAGGGAGCGTGCACATATCGTAGCTCTGGGCAGCTCAGCCAGACCAGATCGCTATCACGGGCATCTAGGTGATATTGGCAGGTTTGTCTGGCTAGGTAACGTCATACATCGTTGTCTGGGCGCAAGCAGGAATTATCATGGTCGAACCCGAGGAAATGATTTTAAGTGGGACGCGGATTCCACCAGATTCATGTAAGTCAAAATCAGGCATTAGTCTAAATGGTTGCAGGGGTTCAGACAACCCAATGTCTGGAAGCGAATCACATACTTGTCAACAATTGAAATACGAGTATCTATTTTGAAATCAGGATGGCGAGGTCTGCTGTTGGAGGATTGCCCAAAAGGTTCAAGCATATCTCTGCCTGCAAGTCCACGAATCAAGCGCATAAAGGAGTCGGCACAGTGGCAAATCTGCTGTCGGCCTTTGCTTAACCAGTCCAACTCGAAATTTGACAAAATCTTTATTTTGTCGAAACGCCTCAGCTTTTTCGGAACCTCAACTAAAACACCAAACCCCAGCCGCGAACCTTTCTGACATGACACACCCCGTGTGACTTCAGCCAACAGAAGGCAAGAAGAGGGTACCAAACCCACGCGCCATGCGGCTAACTCCCTTCCTTGCTCACCTCCTGACATGCCTTTTGGATTCCACGTTCTCACTGGGCATGTGAAATCCCCGCGCAGAGAGAGCAACCTCGAGGAAGCTGAAGGTCTGGTTATTCGCGGGGTCGAAGGCACCGCGAGAGGATTGGCTTAGGCAGCCTGAGCCGAACCCCCGAGGTCCAAACTTGAGCGGCGTGCTTCTTTTCTGGGCTTGGCTTAGAGTGCTCCAGGGCTTTGTGAAGGTTGGTGTGCGGCTGGCTTTGGACATCTGGCCAATTGCCTCAGAAGCCAGCCGAACACCAATGACAAAGCCCTAGAACAGCCTAATGCTACGCCTAACGGAGGCCCCCCGTCCCCAATCGTCCAACCGACAACCCGCCCAGGGTCCGTTCTAAGCTGCGAGTCACACCTGGGAAAACAAACGTAGGAGGGGGTCCTCAAAAGAGCCTTTTTTGCGACACTGGTGGGATTGTGTGACGTTATTTTTCACGGCTTCCAAGGAGGAATTTTGTCTCCACCAACTGCAAGTGGATCTTAGAAGCATGGCAGCAGCACCCAACCAGCGGAAGTGCCATGGCATCTGCCGTATTGGGTACCTAGAGAAAAGTGATCTTCCAGCTAGCCTCCAGGTGCTGTTTGTGGGGAACCAAGCATCAGCTCAACTCTTTAAACTGAGGAAGTCTCACTTTCGGCATCGTGGATGGCTACACATGCTGCTCTACGTGGACGCCAAGGGGAATCCGGGGAAAGACTGGAAGGAAGAACTCCCTTTGTGTGATGGAGCCTTCCAGGACAAACCGAACACCTCCATCCCCGATCGCAAGCCCGGCCTTCGGCAAAAATCTCTGGGTGCGAATTCCTCGCGGCTCGTGCAGCCAATTGGCGTTGGTGTCAGTAGCTCGTGTTTCTGTTGATCTTTATATGGCTGCGTAATGTGAGTCCAGCTCAACCAGCGATTTCAACACATTGCCGATGGTCCGAACTGCTCTGTTGGTTACAATGGCACAACATATTGCCAGAAACATGCACAAGCGAATCAATGAACGCTCTCCGACTAAGCTGTCTCATGTGTGGTATGTAACCGGGAGCAAAAAACACGAAGCAATGTCCTTATAGATAGCCTCGTTCCCTGCGTTGGACTCTGCACCAAGCAAGAGTGATGGTAGTTGCTCCCTCCTTACGGGCCCTGCACATCTGCACTAGCAGTCGGATGAGAAGGGCCTAGTATCTGTTACTAAAGCTTTGCCGCAGGATGTGAAATATATGTAGAGCAGAAAAGCATACCTCCCATGCCTGCCACTAAAGCTTTTCAACATGCTCTGTATCATGTGGCAAATATAAGCCTGTATGTATAATGTAGACTATGTATTGGTATGTTCCTGCCGATTCGGACAACACTTCGTCCATTCTGCGTGAGTGAGCATGGCTTCTGTGCTGAGTATCCATACCATATATTCAGAGTCTCAACTGTTGAAATTCTGTTGGCAACTGACCCGATACATGAAAGCCCGGGCAACATATCGAATCCCAACCACAGAGCTTAGGCTCGGTGCCCTTTTTGGCCGCGGGGCCAATTAGGGGGTCACACCCACATTGGCAAAACCACTGCGGGATGGGTGACCAGACCATCGTAGGAAAAATGTCGCATTCGGTGGTGACCCATTCTTGGGATTCCCCTGAAAACAAATGCAGAATGATATGAGTGTCCCAAAAGCCAAAAGGGGCTCTATGTTTGACAACGTTTGCACGTGACACAGCGTGTCGCATGGCGCATGCGATTGTTTAAACAAAATTAATAACCGGGTCCTCTCAACTTGTTTAAATTGTTGGCAACCATGCGCTTGCTAAACAAAATGGAACAGCCGGGTCCTCCATGAGGTGGAATGCCCGGGCATGTCAAACTCTGGGATGACGCGGATGCCACGCATGCGGGCATACCTGCAACCAGCGTGGCTGTCGCCAAAGAAAAGGGAAATGGGTCTGTCCTGTTTTCTTTTTGGGGGGGGGTATATCCCTTTGCTTGCTGGCGCGATAGGCAGGGAATGAGGGGATGACCCCGATAAACCATCCCTTGTGGTTTCCTTTTAGATCATTCCCTCATTCCCTTCTGAGCACCAGCAAGTGTTTGGGGGGGGGCGTCCCCTTTCTCAGACAAACCCAGATTTTACGACAAGTCGTGTCGCAAATATTGATGTAACGGCGGAGTACCGATTCTGAGAGACGCCAACATGCAACATGGACTGCATGCCCAATGATATATTTTAGGCATCAACTTGGTAACATTGTGCAGAGCAACATCTGGGAATGGCACAGATTTAGTTTTTAGTCCCGAACCAAGCGAGAAAGGGCATGTATCCAGGGGTGTCGTTCAGAAAGAACAAGCTACGAATCATGTTGTGTGTGGGGAACTTGATCGGAATCTGCCCTTGAGGTCAGTTGCCAGTTTTTTTGCAGTGAATCCAGGGAACCTAGAATTAGAGGAAAAGCAATTGGCGAGCACCACGATTTTTGGGATACCCGAGCCTCCAATCAGACTTCCGACCGCCAGAACTGCCCGACCTACCTGCGTGTTCCGTCTTGTTCAGAGTTCGTACCCTTCTTGTTGCGTGTGTATGCTAAAATCGCGGATGCTCAGGCTGCAAGTGTTTGTCTGGCTTAAGTCCACTAGAAGCTCCTTCCTTTGTTCCTTTTGCAGCAGGGCCGCAGATTTGGGGGTGCCACGTTGGAAGTCATTTCACGCTGCCTGCCTTTGACTGCCATATTGGCAGGGATATCGAAACAGCTAATTTGTTCATCCCGGATCAGTATGTTAATGTTTCGTGGGGAACCATCACTTCGGTCAACAGTTGTTAATGGCAACAGCTCTTCTGACATGGCCAGAGTCGAACACGCAAATTCCCGGCTTCAGCCAGTTTTGTTTATCGTGTCCAGAAAAAGGGAAACAGCCAAGGCATGGAATAGGTGCTTCTCGCAACAATCGCCTGTTCTCGCAAACCGGCAAATGGGATGAGGAAGACTGCCGCCGGGTGACTTGACGACTTCTGCAATGTCCTCCCAGGTGTACCTGGGTTCTTTTTGTCGGGCGACCCCCTCCCAAACCGGGATTTCTGCTGTTCTCTTGGCTTTCTATTTAATACCACCAAGAACAAGTGCACCAACTCCCAAGCCTTGGCTTGGGCATGCGCTCGGAAAGCCACCGGCCGGACTAAAAATGACTGCGACCTGCTAAGGAGCTGGTCTCATGTGGGGGGTGATCAATATTCCATGGGCCCCCAAATGACCATGGGTAGCTTTTCCCATGTGGGAAATCTCACCTTTTTCCTGGGGGTTTTCCCCAGTGGTCATTGCATGTAAAGGACCTTTTGATCAACCCAAACATCCACATGTGTAACTGCTTCATTCAGACAATCTTCAACTGCGAAGTCTAGGACCTCCGATCCATCCACGTCGATCTTGAGCTCCAGCCAAGCGAGCGGAGTGGTTAAATGTTTTCAGAGATCCCCCTACCAGAAGGGGCAGCCGGGTGGGATAGGGGGGGGGAGGCGATTCCATTTATGTAGTCTACCTCATTGGGAAAATGGAGCCAGGGGTCTTTTCTCTCAGCTCGGTTTTGGGGGTGGGATATTTTCAGAGGTGGCATCTGACCAACTGCACTTCTGCCCTTCAGAGGGTCTACATCATCAGCTTTTTGCGTGATTTGGAGCCCGGTGCTTTGGTGTCCTGGGGTGGTGTTCCATTTATCTACAACAACCAGAGGTTCAAATCCAAATCCAAACCACCAATCCAAGCCAACTAAGAGTGACCTGAACAAATCAACTCTGAGAGCTAAAAAACAGAGCACAAACATGAGCGGCAACAATCAAGACTACCCCTCCTCCAATAAATAAATAAATATATAAATAAATATAAATAAATAAATAGAATAATAATAAAAAAAAAAAAAAAAAAAAAAAAACAATAAATAAATACATAAATAACAAATCGGGTTATACCCGAAAAACAAGCGACGCCCGGCCCGAGTCGAACCCGAGCCGAGCTTCTGCTCGAAGTCGCTGTAGGCGCCCTTCTGTGGGAGCTCCGGGAAGGAGCGGCTGGCGATGGGGAAGGACTCGTCCTCGCGCGAGCGCCGAATAAGAAATCCGAGGCTTTGGGGTGTTTGGATGCCCAGAAAACCTCGGCTGGAGCCTCTTTCTGGCCCTTAAATGGGGTCATGACCCAAAAAAAGATACAGGTTACACCGCTTTTTTGAGGGTCAGACGGAGACTCCAGGTATACGTTACGTCCCGTAATGCCATGGTCTGGTTGAGGACTCGCCCGCAAATGCCTGCAAAGCCTGCACAGGAAGTGAAATCCCTTTGCTCTACAGTAAGTGAAAGCTCAATATTGCGAATGCCAATTCGCGGGGCTTCCGTCCAGCACAACATTTGAATGATGCCGCCGGAGTTGCAAATCAGATCCCGGGTACAGTGAGCTAGCAACTGCTTCCTCCAGAAAGGGCACCAGTTCTAGTCAGCTTCGGCCCCTCGGAAGCAAGCAATTGCAAAAGTGAAGATGTCAGAGTGCTGGCTTGTTAGCAGTAGGGAACGAGAGAGTAGCACCAACCAATTATTGCAGTTGCTCCGAACACAACAAAAGCCGGCAAGGGTCATTCCCATTCCCAAACATTCCTGCTGAGAACCCAGCGTGTGTTTGATCATCCGGCGTTGTGACTCCTGCGGTAGCCTGATTCGTTCATTCTCGGTCGGGTGTGAATGTAACATCGGATGAGCAGTAGTAAAAGCATATCTTGCGTTCTGCATGTGAAAATGCTCGAAAGTCATTCCCGAATCAATCCAATTACTGCAAAGCTCTGCATCTGCTCGTGGGTAAAGATGGACAACAAATGCAACGTTCAGGAGAATCCACAAGCGATGGTAGCCAAAAAGTCTGTGCTTAGCAGGCCATGAATTGTCCATCTTCTTTCGAAGGAGCTTTCCACAGGGTGCCCAACCTGAATCATAGTGATTGGCAAGAGTCACACTCTCTATCTCTCTCTCTCTCGCTCCCTCCCTCCCTGCCACCCCAGCGGTCGCTCGTCAAACATCGAACAGGTGGCTCAAACTGCACGCGCCAACAGTCTCTCTAGTGGAAATGCTACTTGGCAGGTCTCTCATGCTGGTACCTTGGTCCATCCAAGGGCTTGCGCTGGGAGCACCGTATCGGCATCTTCTGTACACCTACATGGATGTACAATCATGGTTTGCACAAAATGACGCGATTAGGCTCCTTGCTCTCAGACGTTGCCAGTTGGGCAATCCACGCAATGCAAATACACCCAAACACAGAAATTCGTGTTTGATGGTGTTCAAAGGGGAGGCAAGCGGGAACTTACGATCCCACTATGTTCAGACACAGCCACATACTCTTCCTGCTTGAATACTCTTCCCGACCCCCTTCCACAAGAGGAAACTCCCTCCATTGACTCCATGCAGAGAGACATTTGCGCAAAGTGAATAAGCAGTGAGCTGAAAGACTCTGCAAATTCTTCCTTGTCCGGCAAGATTGACAGCATTAGCAAAGCAACCTGAACCTACACCCTGAAAACCCTGAAGCAGAACCCTTGGAAACCCTCAGCCTCAACCCACCAAAAAATACCCACGATGACCCATGGGTTGGTTTCCTCCGTCAGATGCCAATGCAGCACGTTCATCTTGGCATAGGCCATGGAGTCCAGAAAGGCCTTCACCTGGGCCCGGTGTGCGACTGTGTGGGAATCCCACGGCGTGAATTTGACGGCGTTGAGCTTAGGGTGGCCGTAGCAAGCCAATGAACTACGGTTCACTCTTACTCTATGAGTATTCAACCGGCTGCCTCCCGGGCTCTCAGCCGACTGCATACCCACTGCGATTATACCCTATGTATGGTTTTCAGAGTGAGTGTGTGTATGTGTGTGTGGTCGTGTGTGTGTGTGTGTGTGTGTGTGCGTGTGTGTATGTTTGAGGTCTTGTCTCTCAGTGTCTCAAACCAAGCTCTCATCCCAAATGTTTCTTTAGCCACGAGAGTCACCATTGCTCCAAGCCAGTGACTTCCTGGAGATGGTTTACGCAAGCGATGAAAGGAATCCTATAGCCGAGTCTGTACAATTCGTCCGATCAAGCCGTGAACACACACACACATGAAAAGGCACAACGCGACACACAGACACGCGCGCGACAGGGGACAAAAAAACACATCGCAAAGATTCGCAAAGAACACAACTATCGCCTGCAAAAGGCCCCCTCCAGGACGCAGGCGAGCCATCTCGAACATCCGAGAGCTAGCGCGTGTCGTCATGAGGTGTGGCCGAAAAGCGAGCGCAAAACGCTGCGCACTTCTCAGCTTCGCCACGCAAGGAGCGCCTCCAAACCTCAAAGCGCACCCAGTGTCGGTCGAAGACATGCATCGGAAGATGGGGTGTACGTGATACAGCTAAGGTCTGAAACATGCGAATCGAACATTGGACAACTCTACCGTGGCTAAAACATGAGAAACGCACAGGCAAGTAATCCAACCCAATACGAACAATTACACACATACACTATGCTACATATTGTATATATACACACATGCAACGCCCGTATAGACCCAGGTTTGGGTACCTTTTAGTGAGAAGCACAGCTCAAACTCAAAAAACCTGCGTCCACAGAAGAGGGTATCATATGTGTGTATGTACATATATACACCCAATGTATCTATGTACATATTCCCCACACTCTCACATGCTCACAGGGAAACCGCCACCCTCTAGGGCCACCCTCTCGGTGACTCGAGAGCAAACCATCCCCGCCTGCGGCACCGACTCGAAGTGCCTGCCCGAGTCGATGAGAATGCCGCGATGCCTCGGTGGTCTGCCCCAATTACCCACGGGGTGGCTGGGCTGAAAAAGCGGAAGCCGTCACCGGGGTAGGCGACCCGTGGCAGCCTTTGGCTGAGCATTCGTGGCAATGTTGCACTCAAGCTCTGCCAAATCCTGGTGCCGCTTTCGGCGTGTTGATCCTTTGGGTATTCCAGAAAACCCGGACCCAAGTGCACATGACTTGGCCATTTCGATTTGAATCGTCACGCCCGGTGGCTTCCCACAGTCACCTATCAAGAAGATTGACCAAGTAAATGGGTCTGAAAGCAATCGCCGCTGGGGTGCTGGAGTGTCAGCTCCTATCAGGAGCGAGGCAACAGACTGGGCACTGGAAAAGAATTCCAAAACGGCAAGGCAGGAAGCAATGGTGGTGAAATGTTCAAGAGCATCCGGCAAATGCTGGTGGACCGAAACCGTGCTACTGCCAATACAAGAGCACAATGAGTCTTTTGGTTCTGGGAATTTTCTGATCAACATGCAGTGTGGATTCTCTGAGACTTGCCGCAAGTTGCAAACCACGCAGACTCGGTCCCCCTGAGGCTGCGGTAACCGTGCCACTGCACATGTTGGTTCTTGCACGCGGCTGCATGCAATGAGCTGAGCTGATGGCAACATGTTTCTGCTTTCTATCACGTCTAACCCGCGTGGGGCTTTCGTTGTTGGGAAAAAGCGTCCTAGAGCTTTTTCTGGGGGTCACTTGGAGAGACACAGGAAGAGCAAGGGTGTATTCGAAATTCACCCCTTTGGAGGCTGCCAAAGTGATGCTGAAACCAAAGGGAAAGGACCCCAACACATGTTGCAAACCACTTATGAAAGCCGTCCAAACGATTTCGAGGTGTGCATGTCAATGTGTCCCCCTCAAAAAGAACGCCAAACCACAGCTATAATCGCACTAATTTCAACTCCAAGTCACGGGAAACGCGGCGCGTCCTCGATGTGAACTGGGATGCCAGAGAAAGAATACTGACCTGGGGGCAGTTATTTGCGCGGAGTGATCATCTGGACAGAACCACCTCTTGTATTCCGTCCTTTTGGCTGAGGCATGCCATGCCTCATACGCGCACTAAGACTCCGCAACTTCTCCTCTCTTGCAGCCAGCACATGCAGCCAGATTTGGCATACCAGGGCTTCTTTGAGTCAAGTTGGGTGCTGGAGCCCAAAGCTGCCAAAACAATCAGCTTGAAAACAGCGCGTACCGAGCGCGTTTGGATGGCTGGTGCGGAAAAATAAAAGCCTCACTTGCAGCTGAAGAAAGAACCAAAAGATAATCACTTGGCCACCCTGAGCCAGCATGCCAAAGATTTCCGGAACCGACTTGGTTCAGTCATAGGGCCGATGTTTGGCTCTCACGGGACAACGCAAATCGTGGCTTCATGGAAAAGTGGTTCTGTCCCTAGCTCATATGAGATCGACAGCGTAAGTGAGGATGGGCTTTTGAAAGTATGGAGCTAGACAGTACCACCTAATATAAGGAGATATTAAGGGGTATAGACTCCGCTACAAGCTTGTGTATTGAGGGGTATATACTGCGTTAACAACCTATATTAGCCTCTATTGGTGGTAAATGTCAGCATCCATGCCTAAAACCAAACCTGGACATATGTGTCTCTCACAATTGGGGACCCCTCCAGGCGGTTTCCTTTCGGTTTCCCTCCGTCCGAAAGGAGTCCCCTACTTTAATAAACAAAATACAGCAGCATACACCCCGGATAGCGAAAAACATGCATCTGCACCCCCACACTGCATGCCTGGCCCTGCCCGAACAGCAGCCCAAACAGCACCCTGCTGTCAATATCGCAAAAAAAACACCCCCGCTGTCACCAGCACCAAACACAGCACCGGCCTGCCAAACTACATCCCCTCGCACCCGGCCGCCAATCTTGCAACAATGCGCCAGCGCCTCAAACAGCACCTGGACCAGCACCCCAAGCTGCATGCCCCCTAGCACCCGGCCGTCAATCTCGCAATAATGCGCCCGCACTGTCACCAGCACCCCAAAAGAGCACTCGCACCAGCACCCCAATCTACATAGCCCCTAGCACCCAGCCATCAATATCGCAAATCACTTCCCCTCTTTATTAGAAGTTGGAACCATAGCCTTCAGCTATCTGGGGAAAAAACATGCGTTTTCGAGGGGTAAACAAAAACCCAAAAGGAGTCGCCCTATGACAAACCCCCTACAAATGGCACAAAAACGAGTGTCCATTCCTCGGTTGCTTTCTGCTCCTGCTCAAAGCTTAACTTTTAGTGGTTTGATGGAACACCCATTAGTTGGCAAAAAGTTAAAGTCCTATCCAAGCAAAATGCACCAAAGATTCGGTGTCTTTTGCGGGCCTGTCGAGAAGTTAAAGTCCACCAGCTGCGAGAGGGACTCCAAGGCCCGCAAAGCGCCCCAGACCGTCTTCGCGGCAACCACGCTGGTGCCGTCCAGGTTGATGTCCTGCCGAATG